GTTCTTGTCTCTTACATGAAGCTTTGACATCTTTGTTTATATTTTTTACTTTCATCTTTCTGCCAGCTGAGTTTCTTTGATTGTTTTTGCTTCCCTCTCCCTGCTAAATTTGCCCCACCTATGGCTTTGTCTACCTGTCTAACCCTGCCATTTCTTACTCTTTCTGCTGGTAATCCTAAATATGTATATATTGCTTTTTTCTAACATTTATAGTTACATTGTGCTCTCTGCTTTTTTATTTTAAATTAATACATAAGACATCTGTGTTGGTTAATTTTATGTGTCAGATTGACTGGGCTAAGGAATGTCCAAATAACTGGTAGAACATTATTTCTGGATGTGCACTGCTAGAAGAGATTAGCATTTGGACCAGTAGACTGAGTAAAAAAAGATGACCCTCACCATCCTTGGTGGTCATCATCCAGTCCAATGAGGGCTCCAATAAAACAAAAAGATGGAGGAAGGACACATTTTCTCTCTCTTCTTGAACTGGGTTGTCTATCTTCTTTTGTCCTTGGACATCAGTGCTCCTAATTCAAGGCCCTCCAACTTGAACTGGGACTTACGCCATTGGCTCCTCTGCTTCTTAGGACTCCAGGCGTGAACTGGACCAACATCATCAGCTTTCCTGAGCCTCCAGATTCAACTTCTCAGCCTCTATACTAGTGTGAGCCAATCGTTCATAATTAATCTCTATCTAATCTAATCTATATCTATATGACCTATTGGTTCTGTTTCTTTGGAGATCACTAATACGGTATATGATTGAACCATCTTTTCATTTTAGGTCATCCATTAGATTCCACTGATTATTCTGCCTTTGAGTCAGGTGCCCACCTGGTCTACATGGCTGTGGCTAGGTCAGCTCAAGCCATGTGGAACAAAATGCTTTGGGGTGAGGGTTTTTTATTTCTATTTTTTTTTTTAAAGATTTGGGAATTTAGAATTCATGGACATGAGAACCAGATCCATTTCTCTGTATTAGGTAACTGAGTCACTTAATTTTCTCATCTTTAAAGTGAGAATCACAAGCCTTGCTGTGCTCACTTCAAGCACTGCTAAGACTATCCAATGAGATAAGCACCAAAGACAGTTTTAAAACATTTTGAAAATATTAGTATCAATTACTATTCAAGTGCATTTTCTGGCTTCATTCTATGTCCAATATTTGTGTCTTATTAAGTAATTATCTTGGCAATATAACTTTCTAAAACTGTGTGAATTTGTGTTAATAAATATTGATCTCTTTTTATATTGACTTTATTGAGCACTTGATATGCCCTTTTAAGCTACACAAATTACATCACTGACACTACATACAAAGAACTTGAGGAAAATATTTTTATTTTCCTTTGCCTGAAGATAGTTGTACTGAGGCTTACAGGTTTTTAATAACTTGATTCAGGTTTCACATCGAAGTTGGTAGAGTTAAGATGTAAGCCCAGATCTCAGTGACTCCAAATTCTACTCACTTAAACATTATTCTGTAGCATTCTTCATGTCCTGCAGCCCAAAATGAATCACTTTTGATATCTAACTAATTTCTTCTCACAATCTTTTCCAAATATTATTCTGGAAACACTTCTGAAATTCTTGTCAAATTAGTGAATGAGATTTTTGCTAATAGCAGATAACACTCAATGAACCTGCCTGTGGGCTCTATGTTCCTTGAATAGATGACTCATTTTTTTTTGCCCTGTAATTTTGGTCTCACTTGTCAGTTTATTTAATTGAATTCTAAGCTTCATAAAAAAGATTGGGAGTGATATCTACATATTATATTCCTCACCTAGTTCATGCTTTGGCATAAATTAATGTTAAAAGGTCATTATATTATAATGTGAGGATTAGAAGTGAATTATGTTATATATCACAATGTTCAATTTCCAAACACAGAATCTTTTATTCTTCTCTTTCAGGCAGCAAAATCCATTGACTCAGAAAATGGATACCGGAACTAATAGGTTGCTTGTAAGGAGATTGATAAAGTCCCCTATTTCAGACTTTTAGTTTTGGAGGTGAGAAGATGAAAGCCCACATTGGGGAAGTAACTGTAAAAAGCTAGACTATAAGCTATGGATTTTTATTGGTTCAAATTCTCATCTTTTATATGACTAATCACTATGCATCTAAGAATGGCAACATGGAAGCATGACAACAAGGGTAGAGTAGAAGTTAGGAGGATAAATTCTGGGTCCTCATCTGTCCACCTGCTCTTTGGTGCTGGGTAGGACACTTCATGCCTTTGACACTTATGTATCTCCTCTGGAAAATGGAAAACAATGGCTAGTTTTCAGGTGATCATAATAACCTTCCTTTATGATACTGGAGATGACTTGGATATTCTGTTCTTTGAGGTTTGCACTATGTTCTACAAAGTGAAGAACATGGTATAGAAGACATGGTCTTTTTTTAAAGGAGTTTCATAAAAAGTTCCATACTGAACACACACACACACAAACACACACTCCATGAAACCCAGAGCAGTGCACTGATTTTGTACTGAAATCCATGAAAATAATAACTCAAGGTGTAGAAATTCAGAGCTAGAGAGATCATTACAGGTGCCATTATCAGGTCAGTTTTTATGATAAAATCAAAGTTTTGAACCAGCCCTTGATGGACCAAAAGTACAGTCCCAACAGAAAGACAAGCACAAGCAAATGCAGAGAAGTGGCAATGAGCAAGGATAGGCAAAGGATGGCTAGGAGATGACATGACTGGTATGAAAGTCAATTCTGATGATGGCGATTAAAATTTTGGAAAGGATTGTTAACTTTGATTCTTTCATTCAACAAATATTTATGGAGTTCTTACTATGTGTGGGGCCCTGTGCTAAGCTGCAAGATTCAGGGTCTGCAGGGCAGATGTAGCCCTTCTCTGTAAGCATCTGCCACTCTACCAAGGGCATCACTAATTAGATGAATGATTAAAACTTAGATGAGATAAGCATTGCAAAGGGAAATCCCCAATGACTGGGAGTAAAAACAGGGGATGCAATCAAACTGTTCTCTGAAAGATCTTCCACCTTACACATCCCTACTTCACCTCCACTTTATTTAAGGCTCAGAGATAACCACTGCCCTACACAGTCATACAGCTCTTCATATATCTGTTTACATTGTTCTCTCCTACCATAGTTGAGCTCACAGAGACCATGGGTGTTGTTCTACTTATTCTTGTACATTCACTGCCTAACCCAGAGCTTAGCATACACTAGGTAGAGTGAGGGAATGAAGTATCATCGTTTCTCCTGTTTGAAGAATACATCACCATTCATAGCTTTTCTCTAAATGGATTGTCATGACAGTTCCAACCCTTTGGTGAACCACCAAGCTAAAATGAATTCATATAGGGGATATACTTCTCTGTTCCAATACTGTATGCATATTGTTACTTAGCAATTCAGGGTTGTAAATATTATTTGATCAACAGGCAAATTCACAGGCTCACTTAGAAAAAAAAAGCAATTGTTTAATTTGTGCTCGTGTGTTTAGGACTGCATGATATAGTCACATCATTAACAGCAAAGAGGGATAGAGAAACAAGAGATATCTGGGAGTCTTTGATTCTTGTTTTGGAATGTTGCATTACCATTCCTCTTTTTCCTAACTTGAGTCTTAGGTTTTCAATGAAGAATGGATGGGATTTCAGAGGAGGATTAAGTAAATAAGTCATATTAAAATGACAAAATGGGTAAATAGAATATAATGTGGAATGAAATGTAAATTGGATTTCGGCAAACACTTTTATACAGCCTTACCATCCAACCCTATCCGACCACTTCAGAATCCTACAGTGGCTTCCATGCATGGTTCTATTACATGTTGCCACTCAAGGGCATTTGATGTTTTCTCTCTCTGGAAATTCATTTGCATTTAAATGATTTGAAATAATCATAAAAGCCAAGTGCTATGAAGTTTGAAATTAGTTACTGTCTATAAATTGCGATGCCATTAAAAGATGATTGTGGAGAGCTTTGCTGTCTCAAATGTAGGCAGATTAAAATCTAACAAAGTACACCTTGTTACAAACCTGTAAAGAATGATGAGATACAGAGTTAAATTGATTTATTCTCCTACTTGTGCCTATAAACTTGATGCACTTGAGTTTATTCTCAGAGTAACAAACTTTTTCATCTGGCCTATGTCTATCCTCCTTAAATCTATGACTGTTTTATAGAACTTGCTAGATTTCTTTCTTTCTTTTGTGGAAAAATGAAATTAGTGGAACTGGGTTGCATTTTCCTTTTAAATAAGAGAATTCATGCAACATATTTTGGAAGAGAACCTTGGGAATCAGTAGGTGCATGTTTAAAGCTGTTAGGTAGGAGTTACCCCCAACATGGAAATGGGTACTCTGCCCATCCTGGAAGATACATCACCAGTATCACAGTGGCTAAAAGTGCAGGCTCAGAAGTCAGATGTTTTGGTTTCAAATAACTATTCTGACAATTGCTCAGCTGTGTGACCCTGGAAAAGTTTCTTAATCTTTCTGATTCCAAACTGGGAATAACAACAACAATAGCTATATTCGAATTATATAGGATTATGATGAGAGTAGAAAGAAATAATTCACTTAAGCATTTAGTAACTAAAGCATGATGAGTGTTCAGTAAGTTTTAGCTGTTATCCTTTGCAGGATATATCCAAAATATTCCATCCTTGACTCTGATCTCCCAGTCTCAATGCTTCACAGGGTTTTTGCATATGGCCTCAAAACTATTTAATGCTTCTTCCATAAAAAAGTAAAGTTTATGTCCCTTCCCTTTGAATCTGGTCTCTTGATTTTTGACCAATAGAACACAGAAGAAATGACACCATGCCAGTTTCTGGACCAAGCTGGAAGATACTGGCAGTTTCCAACCTTGCTCTTAGGGTGCTCAATCTTGGAACACAGCCACCATGCTGTGAGGGAGCTCAAGTCACCTCAGGAATAACCCATGCACAGAAAAGCTAATAGCTAGTTGTATTAGTTTACTAAGACTGCTGTAATGAAGTACTACAAAATGGGTGGTTGAAACAACAAGAACTTGCCTCATAGTTCTGAAGGCTAGAAGTCTGGGATCAAGGTTTGGTGAGTGTTGTTCCTTGTGAAGGCTGCGAATGATACAACTGATCCAGGCGTCTCTCCTTGGCTTGTCAGTGACCATATTGCTTCTGTGTCTTCACATGATCTTCCTTCTGGACATGTCTATGTCCAAATTTTCCCTGCTTATAAGGACACAAGTCATATTGGATCAGGGCCCACCCTGATAACTTTATTTTAACTTGATTACCTATCTCCAAAGGTCTCCTTTTGATGTACTGGGGGATAGGACTTTAATATACAAATTTTTTGGAGGACACAGGCAAACCCATAAAACAGCACTAAGTTAGTAGTCTTATTAATGCACTGTCTTGAAAGTGGACCCATTAGATCTCATCATAGTGATGAGCCCTGCATGAATTACTGACTCGCAAGGAAAATAAGTGACTGTTGTTGTTTTAAGCCATCAAATTTGGTGTGGGCTGTTATGCAGCAATAGATAACCCATACCATGCTATTCCTTGGACTGAATACCTGTCATTAATTTTCATGGCATAATCTAAGGACTTTCTCTACAACTGACCCTTCATTTCATTTGATTCCTTGCTGCCTTAGGTGGGATTGATAATTCAGTTATGGCCCCCAATAGTCAAACCCCAGCTCTGTATGATATACAGATAAAAAACATAAAACTACATAACCTGTTCTAATGCCCCTTCATCCAAAAAATTAGAGTTTGGACATCTGGCCATAAACCAGAAAGTATCCCTAAAGTCACCTAAAGGTACAGCTTGGCTTATGACAGGAGGTAGAAATGAGAAGTCTTGAAGAAGACAAGCTAGGATATCAGGGGAGAAGTGGAATTAAGATCCATTTAGCAAAAGGAGTTGCTGCTGCTTCTGACCTTTGCTATGCTAATGTCTACTGGAACCTGTTCACACAAATAGCCTGACCGGTCTACTCCCATGGAGATGACCTCCAGTGACATACAGAAAGCCTTTTTTCAACTCCATTCTTGGCAATTTTTAAAAATATTTTTCTTGTTTGTTTTTTTACCTTTTTTTTTTTTTTTTACTTTTAAATGTCTCCATCATGGAGACCAGGCCATGTTTTTGTCCCTAAACAGAAGTGAAGATAGCCTCTTATATCTGAGAAAACCAGGAGTGGGAGCAACCAGTTGGAAATCTGCTAGAGTTTTTACAGAGTTACAGGGTGGAAGCTGATCATATGTCAAGTTCAAAGGATGAAACCAGAGTTAAGCTGAAAAGAAAAGGGCTAGGGGCTGATTTCTTCTCCAGTGTCTCTGGTTTTCACTGTGATCCTATCAATTTTCCTTCCTAGCACAGACACTGAGGAAAGATAGGAAAATCCAATTAGCTTGGAGGGCCTGGCCTAGGGGTCTATGCAGAGGAAATCCTGGTACCTCCAGATGCAGAGTCTTTGATCATTGATCCCCTGTGGCCTCCAAGTGCTGGCTCAGCTGCAGGAGACAAACAGAGACTCGGTAAGATTGAGGATTGTGGACAAGTTTAACATGCTTTGCAGAGTGGCTCAAATCATAGTTACTGATTAGAAGATATACCACTGAAACAACGGAGCGTGATTTTGCGAAAAATATGTATTCTAAAGCTATATTCAAAGGCTGCAGTTATGTGGGAGAAAACTAATTGACTAGCAGAGGTAGGCTATTATGATTACCAGCACCACAGAAATTAAGGTCATATTCTGGTTATGTTGATTACTTTAGAACAACCAACCAGATCATCCAAACTTAAAACTTTCCTCTTTACAATGAAAAAGTTGACTGTACAACGTGCCAAAATCTCCAATTTAATCTCTGCTTAAAAGAAATACGTTTAGAAAATTTGCATAGCACTTTATTCTCCCCAGCATTTTATTTTATTTAGGTGATCTTCCCCCAAGTTAAAATGTAGCAATTGTTTCTATACCTGTGTTTACACTATTATAGATTTTCCTTAAACTCATTTATGTCAACTTGTGTGTGATAGAATTAATTTGGGGGATAAGGGAAGGGCAGTGGTCATGTGCCCTTTCCTTAAGGACTCAATAGAATAAAATGTGTGTTTTTGATAATAAGCTACACAATGCCCATTTCCATTCACCAAAGAGCTGGTGCCATATAAACATGCACAGGGATAAAAGGTATATTTTGAAGATGACCTTGTGGCATTGACTTCAGAGGGAAATAAAGCAAGAGCTGAAATGTCAATTGTTTAAGTTAGCTTTTCCTCTATTAAATATTTACTTGTGATATTTGTAGATCTGTAGTCAGGGCCAAAAGATTAAACCATCTGGTCAGAGTTACAGTCAAGGGCTGAGATTATATGTAGGTTACACAAGATTGTGTCATTTGAATTCTTAGCCTCACAATTAAATAATATAAAATAAAAGCAATACACTACTCCCAGATAGCTTCATCCTTCTACTACAGTGTTGGGGAGAGGATGTTTAATGGCAAGATAAAACAATTAGAATAAATCCTATAAGAGAAGTATTACAAATCCATGAGAAAATGAAATGAATCTGAGTAGACCTTATAAGATGTAGGCAAATTTTACCCCAGTCTGGAAGGATGACACTGTTTCTAACACTTAGCATCCAGACTGTAAACTCTTCCAAAATATGACAGTCTCCTAGAGTACAGGACCTGTGATGACTTCACTTTGGTTTCTCACCCATAGCACTATGTCTGGGTTAAAGTAGTTGTTTATATCAGCTGCAATGCTTCTGGCTGCAACTAACAGAAGATTCAATTGAATTAGCTTAAATAATAAGGGGCATTTTATTGTAGCTCATGTTGATGATGTGGTTCTAGGATTGATCAGTTAGTATCTCAGATAATTCAATAAATATCCAGTTCTTTCCATCTTTCAATTTTATCATCTTCATTCAATTTGACTTTGTCCTGGATGAAATACTTGCATAGTCATTTCCAGTGCAAGAAGAGGTATTGTTTCTTCCTACTCTTTATGTAGGTTATAGAACTTTTATGAAAGACCTTCCAGCAAACCTGTGTCCCCCCAACTCATTGATGAAAACTGGGTCGAGGGCTTCCCTCAAGTGAATTGTTGTTAATGGGATTAAGGATTGTCATGTTTGAGTGAAATAAATCAGGATTTACCTCTGAGACATGTCGGAAGGGGTGAAATTTGAAATCAGGTATTTTTGTTGGGTAGGCAATCTCAGTATTCATTGAGAATATATAAATATATATATATATATTCAATTGAGATAGAATAGTAAATTTTAGGCATAGATAAAGAAAAAAACAAGCTCCCATTTTATCTTTGCTGGACTATTTCCATGGCTCCCTCGCCACCTTCAGTTTCTTCCCTTAGAAACTCTTCTTCAAATAATGTCCAGCGAGATCTTTCTAAAATACTGAACAAGTTTTTCTGCTTTCAGTCATATAATTAGTATAAAATGGTTTGAACTTGGAGTTTTATTCTTAGTCCAATTTTCTTTCCTGGAAACTATGATATCTTCTTTATTTATTTTTATATTTTTATAGGGAACCATAACATGCCAAACTTCAAGAGGAAAGGAACATGAGTTTTGGCAGGAAACTGCAGTGTAATGTACACAAAATTAGAGCTGATATAATTAAACAGTAACACACTGAGCTATTACCTCCAAGGGGACTGTTACATGGTATGACATAGGAAAGGGGATACTTTGAGAATATGGAGCATTTGTTCTCAGTTTAGAGCCCAAGTATAAAGAGACACTACTCTCCAAAGTGATTTTAGAGCCTGTCCCATCATCACAGTGACAGATGGTCACTACTGGAGGAGAACAGTGCTGATCTCTCCAGAGCAAAGGCAGACACAGCAGGCTCTGGAAGAAGAAGAGAGCTGCAGGGTGACATAGCCATGCCCAGGGTCAAGGTTCAAAGACTGTTCTTTTTTATTTAAAGATTTTTATTTTGAAATAATTATAGATTCACTGCAAGTTGCAAAGGAAAGACTTGTTTACCTTTCACCCAGTTTTCCAAATGCTTACATCATCCATAATTACAGAACAATGTCAAAAGCAAGAACTTGGTATTACCGGTATTACTACCTATATGTGTAGTTCTATGTCATTGTGTCATGTGTGTATATTTGTGTAACTACCACCACAATCAAGATACAGAACTATTACATCGCCACAAAGATTTCCACTACTGCTGCCCTGGTTAGTCACATCTACCTTCTTGCTTTCTCCAAGATCTTTAACCTCTGGTAATCACTAATCTGTTTTCCATTTCCATATACTAACAATTTCAGAAATGTTATATGAAGGGAATTATACCACACGTGACCTTTTGTAATTGGTTTTTGTTTTCATTCAGCATAATGTCCTCGAGATCCATCCAAGCCATTCCATGTATCAATGGTTCTTTTCGTTTTTAATGCTGAGTGGTAATCCACAATATAGCTATATCACACTTTGTTTAACTATTCATCTACTGAGGAATATTTTTGTTGTTTCCAGTTTTGGACTACTACAAATAGAATTGGTATGAACAATTGTATATAGGTTTTTGTTTGTTTGTGTGTTCATTTTTCCAAGATAAATTCCCAGGAGTACAATTGCCTGACACTATGGTATTAGTGCACATTTAGGTGTTCTGTTTAGTTCTTTGTTTTTTAGAAACTGCAAACTCTTTTCAAGAGTTGCTCTTTCATTGTACATTTGCACTAGAAATTTATGAAAAGTCTACTATCTCTGCATTCTCATCAGCATTTGGTGTTGTCACCATTTTTTATTTTAGCTACCTAATATGGGTGAAGTGATACATCATCAGGGCTTTGCATTCCCCTAATGACCAGTGATGCTAAACATTTTTACTTCTTCGTTTTCCATATGCATATCTTCTTTGGTGAAATGTTACCTCATGTCTCTTACCCACTTCCTAAGTGGACAGTTTGTTTCCTAACTGTTGAGCTTCGAGAATTATTTATGTATTTTAGATATGGGTCCTTTTGTGAGACATGTGGTTTGCAATATTTTCTCCTGTTCTGTAGTTTGCCTTTTCACTCTCTTAACAGGGAATTTCACAGAGCAAATATTTCTAATTTTGACAAAGTCCAGTTTATCGTCCTTTTACAATGGACTCTCACTTTTGGCGTCATCTCTAAGAACTCTTCACCAAACTCTAGGTTCCAGATTTTCTCCCACATTATCTTTTAAAATTTTTACAGCTGTATATATTATATTCAAATCTATAGTCCAGTTTAAGTTAATATTTGTAAAAGGTATGAGGCTGAGGTCAAAGTTTCTTTTGTTTTGTTATTTGTTTTTTGCCTATGAATACCCAGTTGTTCCATTTATTGAAAAGTCTATTCTTCCTCCATTGAATTGCATCTTGCATTTGTAAATAGTATTTATATATTAAGGATATTAATACTCTGTATTATAAACTGAATATTACAAATTAGTTCATTGTACTTGTCTGAGGCTTATTTTAGGTTCTCCATTCTGTTCTATTGATCTGTATGTATATCCCTCTGCAAATCTACAGCCTTGATGATTGTAGCCATGTAATAAGTCTTGGAATTGAATACAGTGATTTCTCCTCTTTCATTTATTTTTCTTCAAAATTGTTTTAGCTATTCTACTTCCTTTTCCTTTCCATAAAAATTTAAAATGATCTTGTCTATATCTATAAAAAAAATCTTGCTGATAGTTTGATAAGAATCATGTTAAACCTGTGAATCAGTCTGGGGAGAGCTGGCATCCTTACTATGCTGTTGCTCAATCCATGAACACAGTATGACTCTCCGTTTATTTAGACCTTATTTTCTTTCATCAGCATTTTTAATTGTCCAGCATACAAGTCCTGCACACATTTTCCTTAGATTCACACACAAGTATTTTATTTTTGGCTGTACTTAGCAGGAGGAATAAGAAAATGTGTACCTACTACATCTTCCTAGAAGCACAAGTCACCATGTATCATTCTTTGAGAAACATGAAGGCATCATATAAGACCAACAAACTAATGTATTTAAGCAACAAGTGGACTCTGGTATGGATGTCAGTAAACTTTGGGGGACCATGGGAGCAAAGGACATTTCAGAGATAATCTCAGCCATTCAAACCTCCACAAGATTACCTGTGTGAGAGAAAGTGAATGCAGTAAGTCATACCTTCATTAGAGCAACAGATTGAATGACAAAACATTTCAATTTCTCTACTTCTACTATATCTGTGTTGGGACTTTTCGGCATCTCCATTCAAGCAGTGGAAACGGTTTCTCTTTCTTTTGAATCCTAGCTAGGTTTGGGACATACATGCTTTGAACAATAAAATGTGGCAGTCCCGGGATATTATTCTAGTTCTAAGTATTGGTTGTAGCCTAACCCAACCCAGGCCAGATGAGTGGTCCAGCAGATCCACATCCTGGTGAGTAGTAATAAATGCTTTGGGGTGGTTTATTTTGCAGCAGTGCCTAACTAATGCATGCAGAATGAA